CGAAAAAGCATATGTCGAAACATGGCAGAGTGTACAGTGAATATCAGCTGGACATTGGGGCAGGAGCTTTCAAGCGAGCTTTCGTGACCCATCGGAATGCAGTGACCACCGCTGTGAAAAGAATTTCCAGGACGAGCGAGCGTAGTGGAAATGAGAAGGCAGAGATGCTGAAAGAAGATTTGGAGAGAAACGTGACGTTGTGTCTCCACAACAGCTTCTGTAGAAACAGAGAATCAAACGTGGATCCCCTACCTTGCTGTAAACAGAGGGTGGAAGAGCAGAAGTGTTGGAGGACGGCTTCCAACAGCGTCAGGATAGTCAATGACGTGCTACAAGACACGGAAACCGAGAGTGCGGAGTCAGTGTCACAGGAGGAGGAGATGGAGCATTGACGAATGGTCCAGAAAACAAGAGGCAGCAAGAAAGAAAATTAGAAGAATTTAGAAGTTTTAGAACTTCTAAACGACGAAAAAAGAAGAGAACAAAGGGATGATGAAGAAAAGTTAAAACTCAGAATTGTTTTATGTGTGTGAAAAACTCAAGTGAGAAACCAAGCAACCAAGTTGTAATTGAAAACTGAAACATTTAGTTGAGTTTTGAAATTGTTGCATTTATAAATTTGCATTTTGGTTTTAGTTGAAGTGGCTTTAGAGACACTCCCTTATTATTTATTTAGAAAGGCTTGAGGGAAGAGTATATTTAAATATTCCAGCCTGCATGATTGTTTTTAATCACTTAGGAAGACTGATCACTTTGTGGTGACATGAAAAACTTGAGTAGCTTCTTGAGGAGGGAGGTTGTTGCATTGTTCCTTCTAACCACAAAGTTTCTTAGTTTTAATATTCAGGGCAATAAACAAGCAAGATTTCCGAAGGGAAGGAGCATAGAAGGATAATTTTAGCTTGTTGGTTGGCAGGACTGTCCTGCAAGCCAACACCTTTTAAATCTAGGAGAAAAAGTTTCAATCGGGACATTGACACTGGAAGTCAGAAAATATGTTTTATCTTAAGTCATATCCTCAATGTGCAGATTAATGAAAGAATTTGAAGGCTATAGTGATGTAGTATGATGCCATTTATATTCTGCAGTGAGTCGATGTGACGTAGGTAAAAGTAATTTCGTGCATTTTGTAAATTCTGTTCGATGACACTGTAACCATTTAGAACATTGCGCGATTCAATGAGGACATTGACCGGACTGTCCGGGGAGTATGTGACATTCGACCAGAATGGCCAAAATGCAATTTATGCAGGATTCGAATTTTGAGCAGTAAGCCTTCCGAGTTGATGATTTCGAAGGATTAGCGACGTTATTGGAACGTTTAGCCAAACGGTGAGGGCTAGAATATTCTAGTATTTTAAATTTTCAAAAATTCGAATGATGACGTCACACTTCTGAGAAATGCTGAAACGGCCATTTTAACAAAAAGCGAGTGAAAAACAAAACAACTTTATCTGTGATTGCGAACAGAACGAAAATCGAGATTAAAGAAAAACGACAACGAACTACAATAGCAGAGAACGTTCCAAGTTGCAACTATTGTGCTGCTACAATAGTTGCAAGGCCGTTGCCAACAACGGTGAAGGGTGAGAACCAGCCTTCCGGATTGGTGTGAAATTGAACTTAAGGAGCTTGATTCACTGGATTCAAGAATCCGGAAGGTGTAACATTCGCCCGGAAGATACATATCGACGGATAACAAAACTAAGTCTTAAGACGACTGGCTAGCGTCTAAACAGAGCTTTGCATGTTTTTCACCGTCTCTACCAAGCCAATACTTTTCGGTGGTCTTTCTTACATCAGGCTGACAAAAACGTTACTGTTCTCCGGCTTCGACCAGAACGCTCAAATTAACTGAATTACATGCAAAGTTAGTGAGCTCATGGCTGGGTCTCAGTATCCCCAGACCACGAGGTCACTCCTAAAAACAGGGCTACTACTTATCATATTACTATTGTTTTTGTTCAGTAGATAAAAATCATCATCTCCATCGAAGACGGATCAACCCTTTCCCCCCTACTTCTAGCTCCTCATTCTTGTCAAAACGAATTAAGATCTTAATTAAATTCAAGTCAGGACATGACGGATGCTAAAATTCAATATAAGTTCATAAAAGTCCACGTCCCGAGACCCTTCCGGATTCTTGAATCCGGTGAATCAAGCTTCTTAATATCCAGTTCACAATAACTCGGAAGGCTGGGTTTTACCCTTCACCGTTACTCGCAACGGCCTTGCAACTATTGTAACAGCACAATAGTTGCAACTCGGAACGTCCTCTGCTGTTCGGTAGTTCGTTGTTGTTTTTTAGTCTCGATTTCGTACTGTTCGTAATCGCAGATAAAGTTGTTCTGTTCTTTCTGCTATTTTTTGCTAAAATGGCCGTCTCTGACGTTTCTCAGAAATATGACGTCATAATTCGAATTTTTAAAAACTAGAATTCCAGAATCTTCTAGCCTTCACCGTTTGGCTAATCGTTCAAATAACGTCCTTATCCGTTCTAAATCGCCAATTCGGAAGGCTTGCTGCTAAAATACCGAATTCTGCAGAGACTGCATTT